GCAGAAATTGAGTCTCGAAAGCAGAGACTGTAACTCCTCTCTATTTACCTTCGAATAATAGGCTTAGCGTTGAGACTGTAAATCCTCTCTATTTACCTTCGAATAATAGGCTGAGTGTTGAGACTGTAAATCCTCTCTATTTACCTTCGAATAATAGGCTTAGCGTTGATACTGTAAATCTTCTCTATTTACCTTTGAATAATAGGCTTAGCGTTGAGACTGTAAATCTTCTCTATTTACCTTTCTGACAGTACTACTTGCAAACGTAATATACTTTTCTGTGTGTTTAAATTTTAAAATTAGTTATGGGGGGGGGGGCGTCCCGGGTGCCAAATACGTTAGGTACGCCCCTAGGTGGTTGTTATTCTCACTGTGCAATCAAATACAAGACTCGGGTGGACAAGTTAGCTTATATCCGCTTCTTGCTGAAATTCACATGTGATCGTGGGCACGTATTTGTAGGTGACGTGTATTGCTACAGACTCGATTTCTTGTTTCTCAAGGTTTCACCGGGTTCCGGGCATTAAGTAGGACAAATGTAAGGGGGGGTTCTACTAAATTATCACATCGATTTAATATAACTTTGTTTTAGAAGTTTTTGGTCACAGCGAAGATATTTTTATAATAAGAGGCGAGCTCGAAGATTCAACATCCGTTTATTTACATATATATAGAAATTTTATTTATTAAAACTACGAAGAGATAAAATAACACGTATATGTTCTATGAAGATCCCGGATAAAGTCAGGGCACTAATGAAATGTATGGAAGGATGATTAACAAGAAGAGAAAACTAGCCTTTGACATGGCCTTCTTTTCAATCCAGTCCTATATAAATATCTATGATCCATGAAAATGTTAACTTATCTCGGAACAGGAAATCTAACAGGAGGTAAGTTGTAACAATCATATACTAGGGTTTTGTTAGGTTCGGAGTTTAATACCTTTTTCTTTTCGAGATGCAAAAAAAAACACCCGCCAGAGTATAAAATATTCAGGTATTTGATAAACGTAACAGAAAATATTCATCTTAAATAACCGCCAGAGTGTAAAATATTCGGGTATTTGATAAACGTAACAGAAAATATTCATCTTAAATAACCGCCAGAGTGTAAAATATTCAGGTATTTGATAAACGTAACAGAAAATATGTATCTTAAATAACCGCCAGAGTGTAAAATATTTAGGTATTTGATAAACGTAACAGAAAATATCATCTTAAATAACCGCCAGGGTGTAAAATATTCAGGTACTTGGTAAACGTAACAGAAAATATTCATCTTAAATAACCGCCAGGGTGTAAAATATTCAGGTACTTGGTAAACGTAACAGAAAATATTCATCTTAAATAACCGCCAGGGTGTAAAATATTCAGGTACTTGGTAAACGTAACAGAAAATATCTATCCCAAATAACCGCCATGGTGTAAAATATTCAGATTATTTGAAAATGTAACTGAAAATACCTTAGGTAGTGCGGTGTTTTTTCTTTGCGCAAAAATATTGAAAAATTATGATAAAGTTCAATTACGAAAAGAAATAACAAAACTAAATAAAATAGCCATATCATCACTCATTTATGTGGTTAAAAGTCTTTCAAATTTTATTGTTATCTCTAAATAAAATGGCAGCTGTATTTTTTTTTCAAAAGACTATAACAGCAGACGACATTAACAATAAATCCTAGTAATGTCTAGTGCCTTAATAGATTCATTCAGTCTAATAATTAGAGATTGTATTTTCTCGCCAATAAGCCTATAATAATAGCAGTAAACAATTCAACAGAAATCACCCGATAATATAGGCCATAAATATGTATCAAACAAAAATTTAAGAATAACTATGAAAGAAGTTATAGATAAACGTTACTGTTGAATTTCTTGTCGAACTGGTAATTGCCTACTTTATGTTTTAAACTATTAGATTAAAAAAATTTGAACCTAACTTACAAACCTTCTCTAATATATATCAAAAGATATACAATTGTCTATTTACGATAACACAATAAGTTGAGTTTAAAATCCACAACTAATCAATAGTTGTTACGATAGCACTCTCTCAGATGTTAGGTTTAAAAAAATCCTTTGTTTACTTCATTATGTACACAAGAAACAAATCTTACTTTTCGTTAACTTGCAATATTTGCTAAAAAAGAAAAAAAAAGAGTTTAAAATGGTAAGATCTTCGGCAAGTTGCCCATTTCTTACTTCTTTTTTTGTTCAATCAAAATGTTTACAAAATGGAATTATTATTAACCCTCAGTATAAACTGCAGGATTTTCCTAATCGGTGATTCTTTTAACAGATGCACTGCTTACAATAAATTGTAAACTACGTTTCTAAGCAGAAACTCTTGTTCTCTACAAGGAAGTAAACAACTCAATAAACCTGCTGATATGTTGGCACTCTTAATCCACTAGAAATAGATATTAGAAGCAGGGTTCAAGTAAACAAATCAATATCTTAAAGTTCGACTATAAAAAAGTCGTAGATGGGGAACTTTTTACCTTACTTATCTTGTTTAAATACGCTTTATAAAGGTGTATAGTGTGTATTTAAAACCATATTTGGACGTAAACTGTAAAGCGCTGATCATGGTGTCCCTTTTATAAAGGTGTATAGTAAAGACACCATGATAGAGCTATACAGTTTACGTCCAAATTTGGTTTTAAAAACACTTTATAAAGGTGTATAGTAGAGATACCATGATAGGGCTACACAGTTTACGTCCAAATTTGGTTTTAAAAACACTTTATAAAGGTGTATAGTAGAGACACCATGATCTGCGCTATACAGTTTACGTCCAAATTTGGTTTTAAACTCCTCTGATGGGTAGATTGTTCATGATCTGTTGTAAGAGTTCTTTATTAACCCTGTATTTCTAACACATTGATTTTGTACCAGTTCCTGGGATTTTGTACTTTGTATTTTTAAATAAACTGTATAAATTTCTTTACGTAAAATTACTTATTCCGTAAGCTTCTCAGATATCAAGTGATTAGAAGGTCCGGAATTTGAGTCATAATATATGATCCGGACTTTAAGTTTCAGGAACGTTATTTATTTTGATGATCACGTTACTAGTGTAAAATAACGCAGTAACTACTGTAGACTTCTTGTTCTTACTCTAATGAGTACTTCTGAATCACTATTAGTTATGTCTGATCCTTGGGGTCTGTGACCTCCGACCTGGACAGTTAACTAATACGTTGTACTAGGTGTTGCTTAGGTTGAAAATATCATATGTAATGTTTTACATTAATTGTATTTTTGGTAACATTTCCCTGACAGAGAGTTTAATGGTTTTCAGCTGTTGGTCTAATAGTTGTAGATTATACGTTTTAAATAAGGTTTATTGGTTAACACAGATACAATGATTTTAACTAATATTTACAGGTGTAAGATGACACGGATTGGTTTCTGTGTTCTTCTTGCTCTCTGCCTTAACTTTTTGATGGAAACAGAAGCAGACCGACTGAGCCTAGAACTGCTGTCAAAGCATGTAATAAGTGTCAACAACCGAGTGCGCTCTGTTGTGGCTTGGGCAATAGAAAATGTTGTTCTACAGGTAAATATGTTGTCTTGTAGGAAGTATTATCTAGTAAGATGTATTTGTATGAAGTGTTATATATCTGTAGGAAATGTTACTTAATAAGATAAATATATATGGGAAGTGTTACTTAATAAGATACATATATGTGGGAAGTGTTATTTAATAACATACATATATATGTGGGAAGTGTTACTTAATAACATACATATATGTGGGGAGTGTTACTTAATAAGATACATATATGTGGGAAGTGTTAATTAATAAGATACATATATGTGGGAAGTGTTAATTAATAAGATACATATATGTGGGAAGTGTTACTTAATAAGATACATATATGTGGGAAGTGTTATTTAATAAGATATACACGAGTTTGGTGTGTCCAAATTTTACTTCTCTAAACTCAAAACTTTATTTAATACAGCAAAATATCAACGGTGTACAATTAATTTTTAAGCTACATAATAAATTCAGGGGAAGCTGAAATACTACTCAGATTAAAGATGTAAAAAATAAATAAATTTAAGTTATTTATGAAGTTAAAAGCCGAGTGAGTTTTACCGTTTCTTAGGACGAGGAATTACACAAAACCGACTGGCTTTCTGAAAAACTCAGGACAAAAAATTTTCAAAGATGTTTTTAAGACAAAATTGATGAAAGATTTGAATAAGCTTTTAAATAACTTTATAATCATAAAGAATTGAATTATATTTTGATTCATTTGATCGCACGAATCATTTCACTTTTGAAACTTTAGAATTAAGTTTTGAACAGTTTATTTTATAAATACCCCAACTTAAAAAGACAAAGGAACGTGAGCGTTTTCTTTATCGCAAAATGTTGTACAATAAGCTATTTGTGCTCTAATAATGGCTGAAGACGGCTTGAATGGGTAATGAAGGTTTTGTGCTCTGTCCACCACAGATAATCGAACCCCAGATTTTAGCGTACAAGTCCCTGAACTTACCGCCGATTCATCGGGAGACAAAGAAATATTGCCTTTAATAAATATATTTTGAAAGTGTGTGTATATATGCGTGTGGTTTTAAATAGGATTTGCTGTAATTCATGAAATATACGAATCTATCTCTGGATGTTTTCCTTAGAGAACAAACAAAAATTCAAACATTTTTATTTCATTAATTTTACAGCGGTTAAACCCGGGTTCTGTAGACTGAATGGAACACCAGGTGGCAAATGTCCCGACACGTGTAAGAAAGACCAAGATTGTGAAGGACGAAAGAAATGCTGTGGCGGTTGTGGAATGACGTGTATAGACCCAAGAGACTGAACTTTCGAATTCAATATATTTTTTAAATATTTCATTTATTTTAAATTACTTAGAAAAAAATCGTTCTCTGGACGGTTTGCTGAAGTATTAAATAGACAAAATAAAATATATAAGCTACTCACATTGTCATAAAGCTATGAATTAGGTTTTATTTTGAGTTCGTCTGATCGCAAGGGTCATTCCACTTTTTGAAGTTTATCATTTCATCTAAGTATGGAAATCTTGGTAAGAATTGGGTAAAATAACAAGAGGTTCAGTGGAAATGTTTCACAGAGGAAGAATGAATTACCTAATTCTGATTGAGTTTGATGAATGAAAGAGACTGGATAGAATGTGTAACAAGATGAAACTATCTTTATTCACAAAACAAAATGCCATTATACTGAACAAGAATGTACTTATCCACTACGGACTGGAGATCTGTAATACTGCTGAGGACAGAGAAAATCATTACAAGAAACAATAATGCTATTCTTCTCGGGTCGCGTGCGCTACTCCACGTTACTGTTGGTCATTCCTATTACAAAATGAGGTTGTATCCTCAAAAGTAATAACACTACAGTGAAAACGTTTCCTGTCTGCTCCTATATAGTATGTTATACTTTAAAGAAATCTTCTCCTGAAGAAGACACACGTGACACCATAAGTGAATGATCCAATACAATACGTAACTAGAGGTAAAGAAACTTAGCTACTTCCTCGAATAATGTTCTATATCAAGTTATGCATTCCATATTGATTAAGAGGGTAGAAAACATGTATACGTGGTACTACACCTTTCTCTTTTTATCTTCATGCTCTCCTGATTTCCCCTGACTTTAAAATCTAAAAATCGAATTAGATAAATGTTCATATCAGTCATGAAAGTTGTGTAACTGGTTCTTGCCCCTGTAAAACACTTGTACAGACAAGGAAGACAAAAAATACAGTTTTTAGGGTTGTAAGCTTTCAGACTTACCGCCATGACACTTGTGGCCAAATAAAAAGCAGAAAATATCAAAATAAAGAAGCACAGAGTAAAACTTTCACATAAATCATGTTAAAATGAAGTACAGTAAACACAAAAAGTATTTTGGCCTTGAATTAAAAACTTAAAACAGAACATTCGTTCCAATTCAAAAGTATTAAATAACTTTTAATACTGAACACAAAATAAAAAAAAATTACTAAAATAGAACCTGAATATATAAAAAGGAAACATATCAAATTACAAAATAAAACGTTATTACAGAGGACCATATGAAAATAAATTATTTAAATACATCAAGTTATAAAACTAAACAACTAATTAGGAAATCACACTTAGATCACAAATGTACGTATTTACAGGCGTTTGCAATCATAAATTCAACACATATACAACCGCGTACAAAAAACAAGGGCATCAAATACTTGGATGTTGAAAAGGTTAAATGGGTGTTTATTAAAACGAAAGGGGAATTCACATATAGTTCCCTCATGCACGAAACACACGATAACCATTACGATGAAGGTTAAAGTATCTGTAAACATACCATGCACAGAATGATCTAGCACGAGTTGATGAAGGTTACAATTCTGTACAAAGGTATAAACATTAATAAATAAAACGGTTAGCAGAGATCCACAAAACATTTGCTATCAAATTAGTATCTTAATGCAATAGTAATTCTTTAAATACAGGATTTCTAGAATAATATAAAATAATTCTAATCGCAGACACCGGAATCTACAAGTCCACTTGTCTTAGGACTAGCAGTAGCTAAACCTTTATTAAGTATGGCCTATATTCGATAAAGAGATAAGTTAACACTGTAGCTCGTGTACGTTTTTTGCTTTAGTTTGGTTAGGGCTAACTTTACCGCACTTAATACTATCAATAAATAAACTTATAATATTATTCTACAATCTAACGTTAGACTTTTTTAAAAATTTCATAAGCTGTTAACATGTTATACAATACGTCTACTAAAGTATATTTACATCTGCTTTTTGTTTACATTTGTTGAAATGAAGTGTGCATGCATGTGCATTAAGATAGTAGAACATGCATACATATTCAGAACAGATAGAAACTGAATATTATTATAACAGATGACATAAAAATGAAAGAAATTGGTCACACTCATGTGCACCACCAACCTAATCTTGACGATAATGGAAGCCCCATCAACAAACTCTCAAGAGAGGTAGCCTACCATATGATTTCCTTGATCTGAGCCAGGTCAGTTCAAAGCCAAAGCACCTCCTCCTATCGCTGAGATGATGGTTATTTCACACTCATGTGCACCACCAACCTAATCTTGACGATAATGGAAGCCCCATCAACAAACTCTCAAGAGAGGTAACCTACCATATGATTTCGTTGGTCTGAGCCAGGTCAGTTCAAAGCCAAAGCACCTCCTCCTATTTCTGAGATGATGGTTATTTCACTTCAAAACCCATCCTCTTCCCTGTTGTATAATGCCCAAGCTATCTCTTCATTTCCTGGCTTGGACTTAGAGTGTTGCTTCAAAATCTGTATCTCCTGACACACAAGCCCCTACATGATGACATCAGTGAGGCTGATGGGATTTAAAACTTCGGTTGCTACAGTGGCAGTTATCTTGTCTGACTACCACTATCTTACTTTGAAGTTAAGTATTATAATTCATCTGTTTGTGTAGCTAAGGATGGTCAACTGTAGGTTTAACAGTGAAATTATCATGTTGATGTATTCAGAACACCAACTGGCTATTTGGGTAAGACATCACTATGGTGTCAGTGTACAGACAACATATGTCTGATAAAAAGTGTCAGGCAAGCTTTCACTCATAACACTAAATCGTGTGTGTGTGTGTGTTTCGTAGTTAACATCAAGAAATGTGACCTGGTGTTAAATTCTGGCTATTTGTGCTGGTATCTTTCAAGTAACTGCTTTACTGACTCAAACAGGTACAACCCACTAGCCAAATGTACACACCAGCACTGGAGTGACCCACACTGCTTGCATACCAGCACAAAAAGTAATCAGCATTGCCTGCACTTTAGACCAATTTTCTGTCAAAACATGTGGTAAGTAAACCACTTCATTATGGTTATAAATCAATGTTTGCCATTTAATTGTTGTATTAGCATAATGTGCTTCTATAATCAAACAAGTAACAGGGTTGATTATCACTTTATAAAGCCCCCATGGCTAAAATGGTAAGCATATTTGGCACAAGGTTTGGATCCCACAAACCAAAATGTTTGTATTAAATTACAACAATTTCCTTGAGAGCATATTATAGAAAACAATACTTTTAATTGCCAACGATGTAAAATAAAATAAACTTGAATTAAGAATAAAACAGACCTAAAATATTGCTTTGATTTATGTGTGTTTGTAATTAAACATAAAGCTACACAATGGGTTATCTGTGCTGTGCCCACCATGGCTATTGAAACCCAGTTTTTAGCACATAAGTCCATAGACTTACTGCTGAGGCACTGGTGCACCCAGGTTCTAGACTTAGTTCATCAAAACGTGTCAGTTAATAATATGAAAGTGACAGTAATTAAATTTTGTTTTAATTAGTTTATTAACTAAAACAATCATATGAATGCACATTGATTTTAGCTTCTCTAAATAAAAAATTAATGCAGTTGGAAATGTAAACCAGAAAATAGATTTTTAACCACTGTTTTCACACCCATACTGTTCACCAAAACTACATAAAACATGGTTTTGTTACAAGCATTTATTTGAAACTGTAAAGACATAAACAAATACAGAAACAGTTATTTTACAACAGTCATATAAGGAATAATTATCAACTGAAATAATTGGTTTGTATCTGCCACCAGGAGTTCTAATAGATTAAACATTCACAATTTGTCTGGAGATTTATTGTTACCAGGATTTAATGATTCAGAGATTTGTACAGGAAGTACACTTTATCTAGAGATCGATTAATTCTGTTGTATTAGCGTGATTTAAGCTATGGTACTATAGTGAAGAAAAAATGTCCTTGAAATTGAAAGGTGTTATAATAAAAAGTTAAAAATAATACAATAACCTCAAAAATATTTGGAGTTTCTTGCACTCTTTCATCACAATATAGAATTCATTGTCACAGTTATCATAATATTATTTTTTTAGCACTGTTCACCATGCATCAACAGTTGGAGTGTTTCCTTGTATTAAAAAATACATTAATTCCAATCTTAAATAGTTAAGACAACATTTTTTTCATTAACATTTTTTCTTTCAATTTTTAAGGCAAACTGTGTATAGTTGTCATAAGTAAATAAAAATACATCATGAAGATGATAAACCATTAGAAGATCTGTATATTTTTTTATATAATGGTGGTAAATATCTTTGTATAATATGTGGAATGTAAGTTGAGATACAAGAAGTACGAAGTTTATTAAATAACTGTATTATCTATAACTACTTGTAAAAATTCCTCATACTGTAGGTTTATAATACCTGTCTGATCAGTGTCCTTGGCACGAAATCCATCGGTCAGAGATTTCAACATGACACATATCTGAATAAAGTCATCTAAATTGATCGCTTGGCAACCAGTACGATCAAACTTTGTCATCACTAACTTACAGAAGTTCATGGAAATCCTGGAAAACAAACAATATTTTATTATTTCCTTACTTTCTAAAAGAAATGTCAAACAGGAAAATCGTGAGATGTTCCTTAACTGAATATTGAAAATAAGTTCATAGAATAGAAAATTATAACTGGTTTAAAAATAATATAAGCAGAATTCAGAAGGAACACAAACATACAAAGAATAAGATAAACACATTAAGATCTTCAGTTAGTTTTTTTTTACCGTACTTTTCTGAAGGATGTCATTAACCATTTTATATGTGGGTTCAAATTAAGATGTGAATGACACACGCTACCTAGACTAGTTTACCTATCTTCTATCATACTACCAGTAACTTTAATTCCAAATTTTTCTGTTATTAAACATAGTTCCAAAATATAAGAGAGAGGGATTGGAAGATTTTCTTATATACTTCTCATACTGCTAACAGTATATCATGATATTGTCTTGTTGGGAATACTAAACACGTTACAGGTTAGTTGGAGATACTAAACTCGTTACAGGTTAGTTGGAGATACTAAACACGTTACAGGTTAGTTGGAGATACTAAACACGTTACAGGTTAGTTGGAGATACTAAACTCGTTACAGGTTAGTTGGAGATACTAAACTCGTTACAGGTTAGTTGGAGATACTAAACTCGTTACAGGTTAGTTGGAGATACTAAACTCGTTACAGGTTATTTGGAGATACTAAACTCGTTACAGGTTATTTGGAGATATACTAAACTCGTTACAGGGTATTTGGAGATACTAAACTCGTTACAGGTTAGTTGGAGATACTAAACTCGTTACAGGTTATTGGAGATACTAAACTCGTTACAGGTTATTTGGAGATACTAAACTCGTTACAGGTTAATTAGAGATACTAAACTGTTACAGGTTAGTTGGAGATACTAAACTCCTAGGACATCTTTAACCCTCATATTATCATGTTTTGTTAGCTAAATAAATTGGATGAAACTGTTGTGAAATCTAGAAAAATGAATTACTTTGTATTTTCAGTAATAAAATAGATGTTTAGTCTTTGGTTTCCATTTTTTAATTATCAACTATTGGTACTGAACACAAGAAAGTATCCTTAAATTTGATCAGGTATACTTTATGTGTTATTCTTCAGATCCTATACAGGCAAACATTTACCTTCCTGCACTCACAAGTCCACAGGTGGACTTAAGTAAAGGACTTGAGAATCAATGATAAAAATTATAATCCACAGGTGGACTTAAGTAAAGGACTTGAGAATCAATGATATAAATTATAATTCATTTGTTTAATCTGGTTCACACCTTAACAGTTGTTGTTGTTCACGAGTACTGACGATATACATATTGCCTAGACCACTACTATGTATCCCCGGCAAGACTTTTGGAAGCCCAGAACTATTTTTACATTCTTTGAGTCCTAAATCGAACTTTGTTACTATGATTTTAATGTTGGATTCAGCACTTCTTCAGGAATTAAGAGATGTGGTTGAACAACATGTTACTAATTTCACACCATTTTATTTTTCTTCTTTCTCTCAATTCAACCAATCAGTGCACGTGTTTAGACTTGGACAGGACCAAAGGCAGTTAGTTCAGGCAATACTATCAAGTGGTTGTTTAAATCATGCACTCGTTGTTGTGAAAGTAAATAAATATACATTAGTGCCTCAATTATTCATGCTGGTTTTGGGAAAGCAAAGAATCGCAGAAAACAAACAGCGGATAATCGAGGCACTAGTGTATATCACTAGTTAACCGATTGTTTAATCTAAGTAAACTTTTTCGATATACACAAGTTTCTAGTTTTAAATTATAATCTTTTTTACTGTTGTTTAATTACATTATCATACAAAGTCATCATAATCATAAAAGCCAAGTATCCGTCAGTCAGTCCTACTCGGTTTCTCCAAATTGTGTGAGTTACACGAGTCTAATTCCACTTTTTTCTCCTATAATGCTCCTCTTTTGATTGCCCATTCTTGTTTTAGTTGAATTCAATCACTAGCATAGGAGTAAATAGCTCCTAAATTTTGACAGTTGTCCTACTATAGACACGGAAGTGCATTCACATCTTATCAATGCCTGTCAAAAATTAGTGGACATCTATGCTTGGGAATTATTACGAAAAATACTTTGCTAAAACAGACTGAATATACCAATTATCTGTAGGGAAGGGGACAATGCATAACTGGGTGACACCCCAACACAACCTGAATATGCATCTGTGGTTAAAGGAGACCCGCCATGCAGCATAGAACAGCGGACGACAACTGAAGTTGGGTGAAATCTTTAAGAAATCTTAATGTGTATTTTTGTATACTATGTTTTTAATCAATAATCAAATAAAGTTAACTAAGTTCCAAATATTTTGAATTCACTTGTGGTCAGCCAGTTTAAATGATGACCCCAACAGGTTGATCTGTATTATTATTTATTCACCTGTGGTCAGCCAGTTTAAATGAACAACCTGTTGGGGTCCGTCTTATTCTATTGATGTGAATATTGTTGATTTTTTGTAACGTCTTATTCTATTGATGTGAATATTGTTGATTTTTTGTAACGTCCTACTCTATTGATGTGAATATTGTTGATTTTTTGTAACGTCCTATTCTATTGATGTGAATATTGTTGATTTTTTGTAACGTCTTATTCTATTGATGTGAATATTGTTGATTTTTGTAACGTCCTATTCTATTGGTGTGAATATTGTTGATTTTTGTAACGTCTTATTCTATTGGTGTGAATATTGTTGAATTTTTGTAACGTCTTATTCTATTGATGTGAATATTGTTGATTTTTTGTAACGTCTTATTCTATTGATGTGAATATTGTTGATTTTTTGTAACGTCCTATTCTATTGGTGTGAATATTGTTGTTTTTTGTAACGTCCTATTCTATTGATGTGAATATTGTTGATTGTAACGTCCTATTCTATTGATGTGAATATTGTTGATTGTTTGTAACGTCCCATTCTATTGATGTGAATATTGTTGATTGTTTGTAACGTCCTATTCTATTGATGTGAATATTGTTGATTTTTTTGTAATGTCCTATTCTATTGATGTGAATATTGTTGAATGTACAAGTTTCTTACTTTGTGTTTCACAAAGTTTATTTGTTCCATGCTTCATCCAAAAGTTTAATATACTAAGTAGAACTCTTACATATACAAGGCTTACTACATTATTTTACCCAGTATGATGATATCCCATATTAAAAATTCTGTTAGTTATGTGTAAATATAATGGTATGAGTTCCTACAAACTTTAATAACAGTTTGTCTGTTCCTGAAATTCCAAAATTATGCCTATAAATTCTGTAGCTTTTTTTAAACTTTGAGAATTAGATTTCCAAAAGGATACGGTATTCAGGTACTTTGATTTCCAACGTAGAAGTTTTAAGATTCACATTAACCATCAGATTCAACAACCAAGAATGAATCATATAGGGAAAGAAGCAAACATAAGTGAATAAATAATAATACAGAATTACAAAAAATCAACAATATTCACATCAATAGAATAGGACGTTACAAAAAAACAACAATATTCACATCAATAGAATAAGACGTTACAAAAAATGCATTAGCTTCAAAAACAAATCATATCTTTTCGTAAATAAATTTTAAAGTGTGCTTGCCTGTAACCAAAAGTATGAAGTGCTTGATGTAATTCTTGAGCATCAATATTTCCCGAACGATCTCTGTCAAAACTGTCAAAGCACTGCTTCCATTGTTGGATGTAGTTCCACAACAACGCAAATTCATGAATTTCTATTGTGCCAGTATGATTTTGATCAAACATTCCTATCATTAAACGACAAGTTTCCTGGAAATATGTACATTTTTCTTTAAGGATTAAAACTACACTTAGCATCTCAGAAATTTTAACATATATAAAAATAATCTTTTAATTTCATACACAAATGTCTAATAATAATAATAATAATAATGAAATACACATCTTTCAGCACTCTTGATAAAATCTATAATAACAACAAGCATAACATTAAACAAGTTTGGACCATTGAAGTAAACAAGGTATAAGATATAGTTGTAAAATATGAATTTTAAACAAGAAGATCCGGTCATGAAAGTAGTTGTAGTAGCAAAAACAATGTAAGAAACTCCCTTGGGAAGATCCAGTCATGAAAGTAGTTGTAGTAGCAAAAACAATGTAAGAAACTCCCTTGGGAAGATCCAGTCATGAAAGTAGTTGTAGTAGCAAAAACAATGTAAGAAACTCCCTTAGGAAGATCTGGTCATGAAAGTAGTAGTTGCAAAAACAACACGAGAAACTCCCTTGGGAAGATTTGGTCATGAAAGTAGTTGTAGTAGCAAAAACAATGTAAGAAACTCCCTTGGGAAGATCCAGTCATGAAAGTAGTAGTTGCAAAAACAACACGAGAAACTCCCTTGGGAAGATCCGGTCATGAAAGTAGTAATTGCAATGTAAGAAACTCTCATACAAGACAAGACGATACATTTTTTGAAGAAAGCCACAACTATGAGTGGCCAAAGTCAAACTTCAATAGATGAACTAAACAATCAATAATACTTTTGCCCGAAAAAAACCCAGTTTGCTGGGAAAACAACTTTCCACAATGTTAATGGGAGCAAAATACATCAGAGTAAATCATAATGATGTGCTCCATAACTTTGTCAATGTAAGAAGACAGAGATATAAATCGGTGAGAAGAGAAACTTGACACACTGAAGAATAACACATCGAATCCTTGGGCAATTCTTCAAAACCTTGTTGTCATTATATAATGCCACAAGAAAACTCTTGGTCTGACCATCAAGATGAGCCAATATAGCATAAGAAATCTGATCAGATCCTGAAAATGTGTTTCTTGAGTGAAAATCAGTTTGTAATTCAGAAAATATATCATTAACATGATCTTATGAATTCTTTAGAAGCTCAGTGACAGAAAGAGTAGAGATCAGGGTTCCAAGAACATATCTAACAGAAAGTTGGCAGAGTGATTGCCCAGGAGGACTAACTAAATTGTGAGTTTCATTGATGCATCCTTAATTGTAAATCTGAAAAAACTACTAATCTCTAGTTGAAGTAGAAATAAAATTCCTCCTGCAATTTTGTTTTATGATTAAAACTATATCTACAGAGTTTTGGCTTTAGTGAATCCTTCAAGTTTCAAAGAAACCTGCAAGGATTGCTGATGGATGTACCAAATGGCATATGGCAACTAACCAGTTTAATTCAGCATTTCACCAAAAAACAGTGAGTGAGAGGAATGTTACAATCTAATTAAAATATATATATGTATCACAAACAATCATCACATTTTAACAAAAATAGATCTAAAATATCCAGCATTTAAATAAGAAGAAAGATGGTAAATTACACACCTGTAGAACAGTCATCTCATTTACTTGTAACACAATAGACTTGGGACAGTCATCCCATTTAGGGGGTAACACAGTAGACGTGGGACAGTCATCCCATTTACGTGTAACACAGTAGACGTGGGACAGTCATCCTATTTACGTGTAACACAATAGACTTGGGACAGTCATCTCATTTACGTGTAACACAATAGACTTGGGACAGTCATCCCATTTACGTGTAACACAGTAGACGTGGGACAGTCATCCCATTTACGTGTAACACAGTAGACTTGGGACAGTCATCCCATTTACTTGTAACACAATAGACTTGGGACAGTCATCCCATTTAC